CCACGTCACAAGCTTGTTTAAGGGTCACAGCCACTGGAGCGGGTCACGTGGGCCTCTAGTGGTGCCTGTGCACCGGGCCTTGCCCGCTCCAGGTCCGCGGGGAGGCAGGGGGTGGCCCCCTGCCCCCAGGAGCACAGGGGCCTACTGGGGAGGCAGGCCGGGGGCATTTTTAAAATAATATATACGTTTTTCTAATTACTGCCCACAATGATCATGCATTCTCCTATTTGGAAAACGCAGAAGAGCAGAAAGGAGGATCTAAAAGTGCGCTCCCAGTCAGGCCGTGCGCCCCGCCCCTGCAGTAAGGAAGGTGGCCGGCCACGAGTGCCCAGAGCACGTTGCTGGGCTTTTGGAAGGACTGCTCTGAAGCACGTGAGCGGCTCTTAAAACTTTCACCAGCCCAATACGTTAAAAAATGGGGGGGAAAAACATGGGAAAAAGAGAAACCTTTGCCAAATTGCCTTTTAAAAGTCTATAGCGATTTCACCACGACCTCGCTATGATCGGATTTTAGGGTTTTGTTGGTTTAGGGCTGAGCAGCAGCCTCCGCGGCCTCGGGGGACAGGACGTGTTCTCTCTCTCACTGGCTCACGTGTGGGGGCGCCCCGCTGTGTGCTTGGTCCACTCGGGGACTCTGTAAGGCGGGGGCGTCAAACTCACTTTCACCGGGGGCCCCGTCAGCCTCCGGGTTGCCTTCCTAGGGCCGAAATAATGTTAGGACTGTCTAAATGTAACTACTCCAGGACTGTTAAGGAGCTGAAATGACATTCGGCAGCTGAGCTTTCAGAGGGAGCTAGGTATAGTATAAGTTTTAAATATTTTTAACATGAGATTAATTACTAAACCAACCTTACGATTAAAAAAAATGATGCAGGGGGCAAGATTTGAAGGAATATTACGCAGCCATTAAAATATTATGAAGGTTGCATAGCAACATACAAAAATGTTTACAATTTTAGCAAAATGAGTACAAAGCCCTGTGCACGTTGTTATTACAACTACGTGGCAACCTCCTTTGTGGGGGCCCGAGACCCGTGAGTGAGTGGGCTGCAGTCTGGAGGGGCCCCTCCCTCCGGCCCACCTTGGCCTTCGGTCTCGCTCAGACACACTCAGCAGGACCAAGCAGAGGACTCGGGGCTCTGGGTCACCAGCCCCCGGCTTGAGCAGTGTTTGGCGCTGCTGGTTGGGGTGCAGTCTGAGCTCAGGAGACCTGGGGTCGAGCCGCCCTTCTGCTAGTTACTGGCCGTGTGACTTGGGGCCTCCTTTCCTGCCCCCCACTTCTATAAAATGAAGATTCTAGAGCATCGGGAGGGGCGGTGGCTTTGCTGGTTACAAAGATGCAAGAGTCTGACAGGGGAGGGAGCTCTGTGTGGGCAGAGCTCTGACTTCGCAAGATTTCGTTGGAGGACTGAAACAAAACAAACTCAATCCCTCTTTCCCCCCTGCAAAAAATCCCACAGAGTTTCTGGCACTATCAGAAAAAAAAGACAAAATCCTTAGACTGGAAATGTACTCAGGCTGTTGTAGGTGAGGGCGCACAGCTGGGCTGCAGCTTTGCCCAGTACCTTCGGAGGCTCCTGCTCCCTTCCTCTGGCCTTCTGGCCCCTCCAGAGTCTAGTCAGTCCCCTGGCCCCTTCTGCAGCCCATCCTGCTGCGGGCGCCTGGGGTTGTTACTGGAACACACCCACCTCTGCCTTGCACAGCCCTGTTCTCGGCCCCGCCGACCGCCCCCGGCTCATCCCTGCCCATCCTTCACGGCCCAACTCAAATGCCTCCTCCCCCATCAGCCTCCGCTGATTCCCCTCACTGCCTGGACTCCCCAGCCATTGGCTTTGCTGTTCCTGCAGGTTCTACACGGAAGCATGTCTGTCCTCCACCATGGTGTTCATAGATAACCCCAGAGTGTTCTTGGTGGGGATGCTTAGGGGGGCTTTTCAGGAATGCAAAATCGGCGGTGCTTGAGGCCTCGGTTTGAATCCCAGCCCTGCCACTTACCAGTGTGAGACCTGAGGGCAAGTCAGTTCGTCTCTCTGGGCCTCAGCTTCCTCATCTGCACAATGGGAGCAGCAGTGGGGATCGGAGCACCTCCAGTAGCACAGCTGCCTCATGCACGAGTCAGTAATGCCTGTTCCCCTTTACTTCCTCTTCTCGTATTTTCCACATACATATTAGTTAACATGTATTAAAGTAGAACATATATGCAGAAAGCTTACATGGTATTTTTTTCAAAGTAATACATGTACATAACTTTACATAGTAGCAAAGGGCTCATAATTAAAAGCAGCTGCCCTTGCATCGCCTCTTTCCACCCTGTAGAAGTTACCATTGCATATTTTTACACTGCATCCATGTTTACTGTAAACCATCAGAAAATGCAGACAAGCAAGCCAAGGAGAACACATTAAATCCCACTTCTCATTTTAGGCTGGCTTCTTCCAGATCATTTAGCCGTGCATTTTTTTCCAGAAAAGGTCCTCAGTGTATTTTTTCTGTGCATTATCGCTCTAATCACTGTCTGCCTTCAATTAAGGGAAGGAAACAAATATTTGTTGAGTAAAAGCTGCTCGGTCCTTGCTGCCGAGAGTGCCCCCCAAGGACCAGCAGCTGGGGCATCGCCGGGAAGCTTGTCGAGGACGCAGTGTCCTGGGCACCACCTCGGAATCTGCACTGTGTCAAGATCCTGGTGACTGGCATGCGCGTTAAAGCTGGGCGCGCCTGTGTGGACCAGAGCTACTCAAAGTTGCAGTCAGTCCACGAGCTGCTCCTCACAGTCCCGGACGAGAGGCTTGAGCCAGAATGCAAACTGGTGCCGCTTCCCTTGTTAAGACAGACTCACTATAAAACACTGCCAGCGGAACTAAACAATGTGATTGATGAGGAGCATGATTTACATTCTGGCCCGAGCTCCTTATCTTGTCAGGCACCAGGGACACACAGTTTCTGGACTTGGCACCAGGCTGCAGACCACGCTTTGGGCAGTGCTGTTTGCCAGCAGAACTAAACAATGTGATTGATGAGGAGCATGATTTACATTCTGGCCCGAGCTCCTTATCTTGTCGGGGACCAGGGGACCCACAGTTTCTGGACTTGGCACCAGGCTGCGGACCACACTTTGGGTGGCGCTGTTTAGATCACAAGCTGGGAAGTCGGGGGGCTGGGACCACACTGTGTTTCTCTGGCTCTAGATCCCGGCCTCTTGCACTCTGCACGTGTCCGACCCTCTCACCCCCTGTGACACACACGCGCAGGCAGGCACACACGCAGGCATGCACACGCACCCTGGGAGAGCCTGGCCCGAGGCAGGAAACATCTGTTTCTTGATTCAGACAGAGGCCCCATCCCCCTGCCTCCCCGTCCCGCAGGCCTCTGTTTACAGGACGGGGTTTTGCACCAGGACTTTACCGTTCTCGTTAGACTAGCCCCTCCCGTCAGGGCCAAACCGAGCGGGGCACCGGCAGGGCATCTGGGGCCAAGAGAAGCCGAGCAGAAAAGCCCTGATGGACTTGGAAAGAGACAAACAACTCTGCGTGGCTCAAGCTTCCAAGGCAGAAAGAGCGCCCAGCTTCCAGGGCCCAAGTATTATAACCTGGCGTTTACGAACCCCAGGCCTGGCTTCTGCCTGTGGCGACAGAAGCTGGGGACTCACACCTCCTTGTCAGGCACCTCACAGCCGGGAAGCAAGGCCGCCGGGAAGATGCGGCCCGCAGACTCAGCGCCGGCCTCATCGGAAATGCCGGCGGCGTCCAGTCCGGCCCTCACGTCCCCTTCCCCAGGAGCCCACGGGGTCTCGTGACGTGCATCACGGGGTTCCTTTTATCTGCACGTTGGGGAAGACTCAGAACCTTTCATGCGGCGGGACTCAGTGACTCCTACTGGGTGGGAGTCAGCGTTGGAATCTCCAGACCACTGTTCTCTGGCTGTGTGACCTCAGGGAAGTTACTCAGCGTTTCTGAGTTAGTTTTCCCATCTGGAACATGGGGCATAACAACACTGACCTCGAGAAGGCGCTGTGAGGATCAGTGACCATGTCTGTAAAGCAGCTGGAACCGACTCATTCATTCATCCCCTCAGTCGTGTGTCAGCGTGTCCCTACTGAATGCTTTCTGGGCGCCCCGCCCTGGGATGTAGCGCTGAGCCGGAGCTCGCATCCCGGCAGGGAGGGCAGAGCGGTGGAGCCCCACTCACGCGAGCACAGAACGAGCCGCAGGCTGCGCTGCAGAGATGAGAGCAAGCAGCTGCGCCGGGGCGGTCTGAGCCGGGCGTTAGTGGGGGCTCCCCTGAGCGAGTGATCCCGAGCACAGACCCCAACATGAGGAGGGGCTTATGTTGCAAAGTGAGGAAAGAACATTCCGGGGGCATAGAGGGGACTGCTATCATCATGTTCCAGATTATCGTTTTGGGTAGAGAGAAGGGGTCAGTGGTGCATTTTACCTTTTGAGTAAAATTTACATGCAGCCACGCGCACAAATCCTAAGGACCAATTTGATGATATTTGACAAACACACACACACACACACACACACACACACACACCCAGAAGCCAACACCTCGATCCAGACACGGCACGTCGCCAGCAGACTGGCCTCACCTTGAGAACACTGCCCCCTACTGTCCCAGTCAGGGGCTGGTTTAACGGGAACATGTTATGGTGGCGCAGAGGGCTGAGGCTTGGGACTCGGCTTACACCCCGGCTCCACCCCTTTCCACCAATAGGACTTTGCCTGGGCCTCCCTGCTTCTCTGAGACTCAGTTTCCTCATCTGTGAAATAGGGCTAACTAAATCTCCTCCCCAGGGCTGCTCAAGACAGCGCATCTGCCCATGGTGCTGTGCGCCCAGCGGGGCTCAGGGTAGGCGGGTGCCCAGTGAGCGAGCCCCGTTTCGTTTCCAGAATGGAAACCACAGCAGGAAAGTGCCTGGTGGTGGGGGTCGGGCCCCCCCAGGGCAGCGTGCCGGGCGGCTGTTGCGTGCACGCCCCTAACTCCGGTCTCTCTGCCCACAGGGATGTGCCTGCAGGCCTTCGTGGAAGCTTTCTTCTACCTGGCTCAGCGAAAGTTCAAGTTGCTGCCCCTCCACAAGCAGGTGGCCTCGCTGATCGACCTGTGCGAATACCACCTGTCCCTGCTGGACGAGAAGCGTCTGGTGTGCGGCCGGAGTGGCAGGCCTGGGGGCCGGCCCCCCTACAGCGGCACGCCCCAGGAAGCCGCCCCGGCAGCCCCGCCGGCAGAGAGCGACCTCCGGCCCTGCACTGCCAAGCTCTCCCATCCCAGACACGCCCCAGCCTGAGGGCCGCTCCGTCCTCCCAGGAGAGCAAGCCCTCCGGGGCCCGAGGGAGGCCCTGGACGTCCCGCCCGTGGAGCAACACGGGCTGCTGAGAACTCCCGCCCGGGGCGCTGCTCATGGTCCCCTGTTGTGCGGAGCTGCGCCTCGAGGGTCCGGTCGATTCCCTCTCGCCTTCCTCCCGGTGCCTCTGGGTGGTGATCCTGTTTTCCAGCCATCAGTGGACACACGGCATCCCAAAGGTGACAGGTGGCGCCTTCCATCCTGAGCTCACGGGAAGCAACAACAGGGGTAGACCTGTTGGGTTGGGGGCAACCAGGAAAGAAAGGACTTGCGGGAGCCGAGTCTGGGGTCCGCCGGGGCCGCGGGAGCGAGCGTCATGTCCGCTGCCCGCCACCACCCTGAGAGGACGAAGGGGGAGCGCCCATCCCAATCATGTGCTACGCGGGTGTAGTTAACAGATTAGCCTCATTTATTTCATTAGCTCGCCTGTTGCTGCGGTGGCTGGTTCGCTATTAATTAAGAAATAATTAACTAAGAAGTCACTAAGGCTCCTAGAGTCTTAAAGCTGGCAGGAGCCACAGAGGTTATTTTGCCTGATTTTGTTTGACCTTGACCCCAAAGCAAGAGTCCCATGGTCACAGGGCCTCCGATTGGAGCCCTCACAGGTGGGGTGCTCACCGTGCGGCCCCCACTGCCGCGGGCTCCTGTGTGCCCGCCCCAGGCTGGGCACGCTGGGTGACGACGGGAGGGGGCTTCCGAGGGGAGGAAACAAGACCCGGGTGAGGGGTGAGGGTCGGGTGAGCAGAGCACGAGGAACGAACCCAGGCGCCAGACGTGCGGGGAGAAGGGGGCCCACGCTCCCCTCGCACCAGAGCCTTCTCTTGTCTCCACCTGTGTCCCCTGCTCGCTGGTGGCCACAGTGGCATTGTGGGAGATAGCCACGGGCGAGACAGGGTCCAAGGCACACTGACGACAGGTGGCGGGAGACAGCCCTGACCGAGCCCCTGGACAGCCAGCCCTCCAGCGTGGGCTCCAAGGAAGGTGGCTCGGCCTGCCTCTGTCTGGGGAGCGTGCACCACAGGACACTCGAGTCGCGGCACCGGGGCCCGGCCAGAAGCGGGCCAGCACGCGGTGCTGGTCAGGGCACCTTGAGCTCAGGGCCGCTGTCAGCAGTGCTGGTCCCCGTGCGGAGACAGGCGCCTCCACCCCCAGACAAGCCCCCTCGCCCACTCTCCCGTCTCCCTGGGCCTCCGTCCCCGCGCCCCAGCTCAGACCTCACCCTCCCTCACCTGGACCCCGGCAGTCTCCTGCCTCTCGGCTCCCTCAACACACCCTCCATCCCTCTCAGGTGAAGGGAGCTCGGAGCACAGCAGCCGACGGCAGGAACCCCCTACTTCAGTCTACCCTCATCTCCGCCCACATAGAGCCCAGACCCCTGGCACCGGCAGTCAAGGCCCCTCCTAAATCTAACCCCTGTCTTCCTGAATGCGCCTGGCCCACGCACCTCATGCGCCCTGCCTGCAGCCCCGTGCCCCCACGGCTCCTCGTATCCGCCTTCGCCGTGCCGAGGAGAACATTCTGTGATTCCCCCAGTGGGAAGGCTGAGGGTGCGGACCTGCTCGGCGCTCTCCCGTCCTCCAGTTTGCCGTCTCCTCTGCCTCCGTCCAATGGAAACTTACTTGTCTTTCAAAGTCAAGCTCAAGTGTCTCCTATGCAACCCCCGCAAACAGAAGGAACTGCTCCTGCTTATACCTGTGAGAACCTGGGAAGTGCCCTCGTGATCAACGCCCGCCCTGTGGCGTTCGCTCCCACCAAATTATGCGTTCTTTCAGGGCCAGGCAGGGGCGGGGTCCACGCTCGCCCCTTCGCACACACAGCGGGGCCCAGCCGGTGCTGCTTGAAATAACCCGAATGTCCAGCAGGCCCCAGGTGAGGAGTGGCGATGCAACGCTCCTTCTCCCCTGAGCCTGTGGGTGCCCCTAAGAATCGTGCTTTTCCGAATCTCACCAAGACGACTCGCTGAGCACTTTCGTGCCCACAGCAGGCTCCTTGGCTCCCAGGCACGGGGCCTGTCCTGTGAACCCAAGCAGACGGTGGCTCCTCTGACCCTGGGCAGTCTCTCTCCGTGTCCCTTTGTCCCAGGCTCAGGGCTGGGCTGCGTCCCCCAGGGGCACCGGCTGTCGTCCAGCCTTGGAGACTAAGGCCCCACTGGGCTGGATGGTCCTCACCGTGGCTCCTCCATCCGCGCCCAGCTGTCTCTCCACCTCCACAGCCACCTGCCCTTGGGCGAGGTGGGGTAGGTCAGATTAGATGATCCCAACACGAATACAGACAGTCTGGGCGGGTGAGACCGGGGTGGGGCAGACTCTAGACCCTCAGAATGGTGCTCTGTGCCTTTCTAGAACCACCTCCCTTTCTGACACAAATTTAGCACGTGCTCACTTCACGGTTTACAAAGTACTTTTACGGCCATCCTCCCCACGCCCAGGGAAGGTTGAGGATCTCACTGCCGTCTCTCCTCAGGTGGGGACTGATGCCCAGGAGGTCAGGTGACTGGCCCAAGGCCTCAGGGCTGAGCCAGGACTCACAGGGAGGTCCCCTGGCCCCCGGTCCCTTGCTCCTTCTCAGCACCACAGCTGCTCTCCACAGCGTCCCAGTGTTCCTACAACCTGGTGGGGAGAGGGTTTGGCCCCATTTCACAGACGGAAACCCACATCTCAGAGCAGCTGGGGGATCCTGGGGTTCTGGAGGCTCAACTTGGGGGGCTCTGATCTGGTGGTCTCTTGCCGAGCACCCAGAAGGGCTCAGTGGCCCACATACATGCTGCGGGCTCCAGGTCCCTGAGCCACACAAGGGGGTGACAAGGCCTCTCTCTCTTGCTCCCTGGGAACAAAGAACGAGAAACAGAAAGTATAGTACCCGTGGAAGCGTGTTGTAAAACCAAGCGCTGATCCAGTGCCCTGTCGTCTTCAGACTGGCTTCTGGCTTCCTACGAGGTGTAAGGAGGTGGAGGAAAAGGTTTGTCTTGAACGTTGTGACCCATCAAGACAAGCAAAGCCGCAGCAGTCCGCTCCGCTGCCTCTGCCCCTCCCGCCGTCCTCACACGCAAGGGCTGAAACGCGGTCTCCGCCGCTCCTCTGACACCTGGAAGCTGCCCTGTCATTGGCAGAGCATCACTGCACCCAAATCGCTTAATTTTTAAAAACATCTTGATTAATGCTCTAAACTCCCTGGCCCTACAGGTGAGCATTGGGCCTCAGTTGCTGGGCACGTGAGCCCTCTTCCTTGACACTCAGAGCGGGGATGCGGCTCCTGGAGGAGCCGCCAGGGGCTGAGAGGGGCCTCCTCTTAGCATGGCGCGCAGCAGCCCAAGCCCCGCCCCCCCGCCCCCCCACCCCCTTGACCGACACTCTGCCAGTCTCCGGATGGCATCTGGGTTTCTCCCTCACGAAGTAAGTTCACATTTTCTTCTGTTCCCAGGAACCACAGAGCTTTGCAGAAGTCAACATATTTAATTACTTCCATCTCTAGCTATCAGAAGTCTTGATTTGTGTATAACTAGAAAAAAACACGCAGCAGAGTGCTTGTGTCTAAAGTACCCCTCCCCCCCCCACACACACAGACTGAGCACCGTTGAGCTTTGGTGCGAAACAGCAACATTACCAACATTTTGCTCATTTTCCCGGCAATTTGCCCGAGTCTTATTTCATACCGGGCCCACAGAGAGCTCCTGGGAAATATTTCCTCCCTCCTGGAGGCGCACGCTGGATTTGGTCCAGCGCCTTACCCTCGGGCCACCGGAGCCCCTCCCAGGCCGCAGAGGCGAGGCGTGGAGCTGGAGGATTAAAGAAATCAGCTGGGAAGTTATCCGTTCCCAGAGGAGGCCCTGGGTGGTGGCGGGAGGCGGGAAGGTGGAGGAGGGTCTGGATTTGGCTGGCCGTCCGCTCTCTCACGGAGTGACCAGAGACTCCGCCCCTTCGCCCGAGTCCTGGTGTGTGCAGTGGAGACCCCGCCACAAGGAATGTGAAGAGCCTGGCTTGGGACTTGGCACCTGGGCCGGACGTTAGTAAGTGTCTGCGGAGGAAGGGACCTGCCTCCACGTGCTGGAACCGGACCAAGGCCAGGACACGCCCCGCCCACCGTGACGTCCTTCGGCCAACGTGACGTCCCTGGCTGGAGGCCCTGGGAGGTCTGGGGCCGCCCCTGCGCTGGGAGCCCTCCTCCCCCGGAGGGAGGCTCTGCTGCTTGCTAGGCTGCTCCTGCCTCCTAAGAGCCTTTAAAAATTCGTTATTAAATTTTCATGGCGCATAAAGTCAAGGTTCCATTACTTGGCCTCAGTTGTCTTGGTAACTTCGTAAAATGCAATAATAAAATGAAGCTGAGTGTTGCTAATGCAGGCTCATTGTATGTCATCGGCTGCAGAGTACTGACGGGGTTTTCCTGCGTGATAATTTTTGACAGCAAATCCACTGGGTGGACAAAGCTTATTCATTTCGGGTCAATTGGTGAGAAAAGGGCTCCTGTTAATTTTTTTTTTCTGTAATGGTGAACGTTAGCCTGCGAAGGTAAATATTGCCCCAAGGAAATGAGATTCTGGGGGACCTAAAGGGAGGTGTTTGGAAACCCCCCACCCCACCAACCCTTCATCTTCAAGGGACAGTCACCCTTAGGGAGGGAGAGACGTGTCCCTAGAGTTTGGGCACCTGTCAGAGACTCCATGGCAAGGACACCTGCCCTGGGACAGAGGGCGGCCCCTTCCAGGTTTGTGGGTACAGCACCCACTGCTGCAGCTGGGGGCTGAGCGGGTACTCATTGCACACTCCATCTGCCCAGGGAAAGCTCATTGCAGGCCACCTCCCCCGAGAACTGACCCATGCAAGCTGCACTAAGAGAGCCATTCCTGGGGGCCAGGCCTGGCTCCAGGAATGGCTGAGGATCCCAGGCAGAGTGTCTGCCCTTCCCAGGCTGGAGCGGAGCACTCAGTCCAAGCCCCAGGGCCTTTGGACCTAGAAGCAGGTGACCCAGAGCAGCCAGTTCCAGTGGTCCCTAGGGAGGGGGGGCCCCGGTCCCCCACCGAGCTCCCCGGGGTGGAGGGGGGTCCCTCACTGAGCCTGTCCAGGAGGGTAGGCCCTGCCCAAAGCAGCCTCAGGGCAGCGAATCGGGTGGCCTCGGGGCTTCTGCCGCAGCTGGTGGCCGTGGTGTCTCAATTAACACACAGCAGTGTGCGTGCGTGAGAGGCTCTGGGGGAGGTGCTGAGTGGCCCCGTGTCAGCAAACGTTTCTCCAAAAAGCCCTTGTGTGTGACCGTCCCCAAGGAAGGGCCTCACCAGCCCCTGCTTTCTGGGGGCTGCCCCCCCCAGCCAGGTTTACAGGACTTGGAGGCCCTGGGAAGTACTCAGCTTGGCAGCAAAGCGACAGCGGAGGGGGACACAGAGAGGCCCTACTCTGACAACTGAGAGCCTCCGTGTCTGCCTCGGGTGTGCCTGGCAGTGTGGGGAGGGGAGGCCGGTGGTGACCGTGGGTGGAGAGGCACGGTGGCCATGGTGGCGGAGTGGGTGGCACTTCTCCCCTCCTACAGTCAAGGCCCCCTAGGGGCTCTGGTGGGACAGCACAGCAAGGGAAGCAGCTGCCCATCTGACCGCGGGTCAGGATGTCCCAGGACCCCAGACAGAGCCGCAGCATCCACAGCATCCTGCCCCAGAGCCAGGGCTCCTGGCTCCGTAGCCTGGAAAGGGGCTGCCCTGGAGGGTCCAGAAATGACACGCTCGTTTTAGTTCTTTCTCTGTGCTCACGTGCCCCATGGGAGGGGGCCCCTGACGAGAGGGGAGGGGAGGGGACGAGAGCCTGTCACGGCAGAGAGGGGCCCTCGGTGCAGGATTCAGAGCCCTCCGCCTCACCGCCAGCCAGGGAGGGTTCCCGCACATTCTGCAATCCTCGTTTGACACAGTCGGGTTTCCTTTAAAAAAAAAAAAAAGCTTTTGAAGAGTTTTGAGTCTGGTAATATCTCTGGAAAATTCACTTCCATGGAAATGCATTCCTCAAGGACAACAGATAAAATGAGACCCCACTGCTGGGGAAAAGCGCTCAACCACTCGGGCGTCTTGGTGTTTTATTTTTTTAAATATGCAATGCATACACACACACACACACACACACACACACACACAAATGCACTCGTGATGTTAATGCATACGGCCAAAAAAATTAAAATGGCACAGGAAGACATACTTTGATGATCTCCAGCCACACCCATCCCTCAGTCCTCCAGTCTGTCCCCAGAGACAGTGACAGTTTCTGGGTTTTGTGTGTCCTTTCCTAAACAACCACAATGCGCAAGAATTCTCCCTCACGAAGTGCCACCCCTTTCCCCCCTTTTATACAACAACCCGCACTCTGCGTCTTCAATTCACCACTGCTCCTGGGAGATTGTGGCACGATGCGTACGTGCAGGCGGACCTCGGGGTTTCGGTGGCGCCATGGCACGCCCCTGTATGAGGCGCTACAGTTACGTAGGACACGGCAGTTCACGTCACTGGTCCCAGCACGCAGGCTGATTCCACTTTTCTGTTACTACGTACAGTCTTTCAGAGACTGTCCTTGAACATGCATCTTTGTGTACATGTACAGTGTGTCCTAGAGGTCGAATTCCTAGATCAAAGAGCACACACATTTTAAGCTGCAATCCCTGAGTCAGACTGCCTCCCAGAGGGGCCGGACCAATTTCCAGTCCACCAACGGTGTGGGGGGCCAGCTCCCCCATCCTCCCGACACAGCGTACCGTCAGAATGGCAACCTCGCACTCTGATGGTTGAAACGCGTGGCACTGTCTGAGGACCACTTTCATGTCTGTTTCTCTCATTATGGTGAAGTTGAGACGATTGGTTTACAAGCCGTTTGTATTTCCTGCTCGTTGTTTGCCCATATTTCTACTCGTCTTTTTCACGTTGACTTGTAGCATCTCTTTGCAAATGAAAACAATGAGCCTTTTGTCATATTTTTGCAAAATGTGTTCTATGTGAGCCATTTTTCGGCAGCCAGCTCTCCCTCTGCCTCCCACGAATTCTCTGCAGGCTGCCAGGATGGCCTTTCCGAAATGCCACCGGGATCCAGCTCAAGCTCCTAACTTGGTTTTGGGGGGTTCTCCTTCTGAGGCCCATTGTTCCCCCAGGTGGGCCAATAGAGCCACCATGTGCAGCCTCAAGGGCATTCACGGCACTGGGGCAGTGACACACGGAGAACCTCAGGAGCGCCCCCTCGAGGTGAACAACAGAGCAGCCTTTCTCCCAGAAACCTTACCTCGAACTAACCCCATTTTTTACCATTCACCAAATGCTTCCTGCTCTTCCAGGCCCCCAGGGCTACCCCCATGCTCTTCCTTTTATTTCCAAACACTCTTCCTTCCCTGCGCACTGGTGAGCTTCCTACTCATCCTGCAGTTGACAGTCACCTCCTCTGCAAAGCTGAGCCTACTCCCTCAGGCTGGCTCATCCCTCCCTCGGTCCCCCGTTGTCCTCACGTGTCCCTGTAACCCACTTCAAGGTGATTCTCACTCTACAGAAGGGCTGTGCTCATTCATATGTGGATGCCACCCTCTGCCAGGGCCTAGCACAGAGGAGGAGCTCAGGAAAAGTGTGTGGAATGAATGAATAAATGAGTGAATGAAGAAATGAATGAAGAGTGAGTCAGTGAGTGAGTGAATGGGTGAGTGGACGAGTGAATGAAAAAGTGAATAATAAATGAGTGAATGAATGAATGGATGAGTGAATGAGTGAAGGCCACCTTCACATGAAGAGTGAGGGGTGAAGACCCACCCTCTCCTCAGCCTAATGTAAAGTGGTGCATTTACCCAACAGGCTGTTCTGTATGAGTGTCTGTTAAACCCTGAAAAATGCAAATTCTTAAAAATGCAGCAGACCAGTTCTTCTGGGGAACCACAGTCTGCCCCGTGAGTCTGCATGAAGGCCTTCCTACTGAGTAGGCCTGTTGTATGGAAGGCCCTTTTAGGGAGCAGGTCTGCCTCCCTCCACTAATCCCCCCCAGAGGAGCACCCCAGGAGGGCACAGATGCCTCTGCCATCGGGACTGCCCTGGGGACAGGGGCCCAGGGGCCCTGCCTGGTCTTCAAGGGCTCTGCTGCCGTCACCCCTGCAGGGCTTCCTGCCACTCAGCTCACCTCCAGCCCTCTGCCTGCCATCAGCCCTTCCCCTGCATCCTGGGGCCCCGTGAAAATCTAAGTTGGATAAGGTCCTCCCAGCAGCTCTTCCCCACATGGCTTCTCGCTCTGAGGAGCAAGACCATGGTCCCTGGGTGGCCCCCGGGGCC